TTGAGGATAGAAGGTTCTTAGAAATGGCAAAGGCTGAAAGTTGTCTTTAATCACCAGACGGTGTTTGGTATGATCACGTTAATAGACTGCAAGTTCAGAATGTTGATCCAAATGTTCTGTCCTGCGTGGAATTCTCAATATCTACACAGACTGTTTATCTATGCAGTTAATTTTTTCAGTTTCACAAACAACACTGCAGTGACCAGCTATTTACATACATTTGCACACACTCATGAGACAAAGCAAATGCACATATTTAAGCGTTTTGATTGTCAAGTATTCTTCCAGAAAGAATACAACAATTACATTCCCACCAGTCCTGTATAAAAGTACCTGCCAACTTGTCCTCCTTTCCATACTGTACTCTTTGGAAGGAACTATGCACAGTCCACATTTCAGGAGTGGGAGTTACACACCAGCTCCCTGAAGGCAGAGTATCGGCATAAACTATTTTGGAATTCTTCTGCATGGGAGATTTATGTCTTCTCCATTTATTAATTTATTCAATCATTTATTTATATCAATATAGGGTAATGGATATCTTATACTTTGGGTTATAATCCAATATTACTTTATTTTGTTGCTCAGATTGTTCTAGCTTTAGCCGTTGGGAGTACTTTCAGTTGTCCATTATGTTTTTTAATCTCTGAGAACATAAATGATCTAGTTTTTTTTTTTTTTTAGCCTTTTTTTTCTCCCTACAAAGTCTCTGTTTCTCTAAGTTTTTTTTTTTTTTCCTCTCTCTCTCTCTGCTTGTTTATTGGTCTCTCTTTTTTATGTTATAGACTTTCCTTGATGGCTGATGTCTGCTCGTAAAAGCTGATAGAAAGCCTTAAATGTGTGGATGGGGCTTTTCTTTCTCTGGGAAATCTGACCAGCCCAAGAAAAAAATACCTAAAGATGTGGATTTAGGGTGGGAGAGGGAGTTTTCCCCAGTGAAACAGCCCCGTTATATCGCCATATGGTGAAACAAGCAAATAGGCCCATCCACATGTTCAGCGTTCCATCATACATGGATCTTTCCCTGAAAGCCTGGCATTATTTTTAACTTGTAGGCTTTTATTCTAATGACACCTCTTTACCTAATTCCGTGAAATGCTTTAGCATTCTTTGTTGTTGTTAGGTGCCATTGAGTCGGTTCCAACTCACAGCATCCCTACATACAACAAAACGAAACACTGCCCGGTCCTGCGCCATCCTCACAGTTGTTGTTATATTTGAGCCCATTGTTGCAGCCACTGTGTCAATCCATCTCGTCGAAGATCTTCCTCTTTTTCCTTGACCCTTTACTTTACCAAGCATGTCCTTCTCTAGGGACTGGTCCCTCCTGATAGCATGTCCGAAGTACGTGAGGTGAAGTCTCGCCAGCCTTACTTCCAAGGAGCACTCTGGCTGTATTTCTTCCAAGACAGATTTGTTTGTTCTTCTAGCAGTCCGTGGTATATTCAGTATTTTTCACCAACACCATAGTTCAAAGGCATCAGTTCTTCTGTCTTCCTTTTTCATTGTCTGGCTTTCACATGCATATGAGGAGATTGAAAATATCATGGCTTGGGTCAGGCACACCTTCGTCCTTAAAGTGACATCTTTGTCTTTTAATACTTTAAAGAGGTGTTTTGCAGCAGATTTGTCCAATGTAATACGTCGTTTGATTTCCTGACTGCTTCCTCCATGGACGTTGTGGAGCCAAGTAAAATGAAATCCTTGACAACATCAATCTTTGCTCCATTTATCATGATGTTGCTTATTGTTCCAGTTGTGAGGACTTTTGTTTTCTTTATGTTGAAGTGTAATCCATACTGAAGGCTGTGGTCTTTGATCTACATCAGTAAGTGCTTCAAGTCCTCTTCGCTTTCAGCATTCTAAGAAAGTCAAATGTTCAAAAGTAGTAATTACCCCTCCTGCTCGCTCACCCTCAACCCTGGTCTGCTGGTTTGCATTTCCCCATAATTGCTCAAATAAGTTCAGGGTGGACAAGACTGAATTGGGTCCTGTACAGTCAGTTCTTAGAAGGTATTTGATGATGATAGATGTACGTGAACCCCACTGGGGTCAGATTGGTTGTCCTGGGTCATCTCTGTCTTGGAGTGTACTGGTCAGTTTGGACCACTGTCCTTCAGTTTGAGCAGATTTGCCTCCAAGGGAAGTCTTTATTCACTCATTTATTTGTTTGCCTAACATTATTCTGGACTCTTAAGAACATAGAGATTCCCAATCCCCTGGGAGAGTTAGGTATTCACAAACAAATTTAATGGTAAGGTTAGTGCTGAGGTGGACAGGTATATGTGTATAGTGCTGGAAGATGCTGTGACTGCTTAGAAGTGTCAGAGACAGAGAGCCCACAGAGGCATTAACATCTTCAGCTTCTCAAGGTCTTTATTTTTCCTGCAACTGTTCTGACATTTTACCCAAAAGTGTACAGGTTCTTTAAACCATATAAAATCTTTTGTCTCAGATAACCCTAGCTTTATTAATTTTCAGTGACAAATGGGTTTGCAGAAATATTTTTATGTAATGTATACAGAATGCTGTTTGTGAGAATTTGTTTAATCTGTCTCATTAAATGACTTCCTTTATTCATTTGCTAGGGGTGGATAAGGAATGTAGTTAAGATTTTTTGTTCATTTCATCATCAGTATAACTCATGGCAGAAGAATTAATTAAAAAAAAACAAACTTTGTAACTTAAAATGTTAAGTCTTGAAAATGAAAATTGAATTGAGGAATCCTAATGAGTAGTAGCCTAGATAATATTTTTGGTTTTTTTCACCAAAAAATAAAGCCATACATGTACGTACAATCTTTGTTCTCAAAAGCTTTGGACTGAGTAAGAAGATAGGAGATTCAGCAAAAAGTTAAATTCTGCAAAAGCTTCAAAGAAATCAACTGGTTTGATTACTTAATACAAGTAAGCAGTAAGTTTTTTCAATTTATGTGTAGAAAAGGCTCCTTTTCCTAAAATTCGTCATCACTTCTATGCTGGTGGCCCAAATTGCTGTGTCAAGTACTATCAGAAAAAGCTTTCACTTGCCATTTGATTTGATCACCACTCTGCTTTGCTGAGGTTTGAGTTTGAAGTGATAGTAAGTGAATAAATATAGGCAGAAATACAGACAAACTCTTCTATGGAGTCATTCACAGAGAAAATAGAACCTAAGATTCATAGTCATCCTATTTATATAAACCCAAATATTTTTAGTATTTGAAGTATTTTGTGTATGGTTAAAAGTCAAAGTGTTACCTTAAAAGATTATAAAGAAAGCATAAGTTTGATAGAAGTGATTTATAATGATATATATGGCTTAATTACTGCTCATGTGATTATATTTTGATTTTATTATTTTGAGGGACTAACTTACTGTACTGGCTTAACACATGCTATTTTTCCTGTTCAGATGCTGCAGTGTTCTAATAGCACCGTATGAGTGTTTTTCTTATGGTTAATGGGCATTTAACTATGTTGCTGTTGTTAGATGTCGTCAAGTCGGTTTCGGCCCATAGCAACCCTGTGCACAACAGAATGAAACACTACCTGATCTGTGCCATCCTCACAGTCGTTGCTATATTTGAGCCCATTGTTGCAGCTGCTGTGTCAGTCCATCTGACTGAGGGTCTTCCTTTTTTTCGCTGACCCTCTACCAAGCATGATGTCCTTCTCCAAGGTCTGGTCTCTTCTGATGACGTGTCCGAAGTACATGAGACGAAGTCTCACCATCCTCGCTTCTGAGAACCGTTCTGGCTGTACTTCTTCCAAGACAGATTTAGTTCTTTTGGCAAGTTCATGGTATGTTCAATATTCTTTGCCAACACAATAATTCAGATGCATCAATTCTTCAGTCTTCCTTATTCATTGTCCAGCTTTCACATACATATGAGTCGATTGAAAATACCATGGTCTTGGGTCAGGTGCACCTTAGTCCACAGGGTGACATCTTTGCTGTATTAGCACTTTGGCAACAGATTTGCCAAATGTAACACGTCGTTTGATTTCTTGACTGCTGCTTCCATGGGCCTTGATTGTGGATCCAAGTAAAATGAAATCCTTGACAACTTTAAAATTTTCTCCATTTATCATGATGTTGCTTATTTGTCCAGTTGTGAGGATTTTTGTTTTCTTTATGTTGAAGTGTAATCCATACTGAAGGCTGTGGTCTTTGATCTTCATCAGTAAGTGCTTCAAATCCTCTTCACTTTCAGCAAGCAAGGTTGTATCATCTACATATCGCAGGTTGTTAATGAGTCTTCCTCCAATCCTGATGCCCTGTTCTTCAGATAGTCCACCTTCTCGGATTATTTGCTCAGCATATAGATTGAAGCTATAGTTTCATTAAAAGGATTTATTTTATGAAACTTGTGTAGAGCATAAGTTTACCACATTATTTCTTTTATATTCCACTTTCAAAAGCAATTAGCAGAAAGTATTCTTATTTAAATAAAGAGAGTTAGTGAAGACCTTTTATCAGACTAGGTTTCTTTAGTGATCTAATAGCTAATTAGCTTCTGATCCCTTGTTCAAACATCCGTTTAATTAAAAGGTACTTTTTTATTAGCCGCATTATTTGGATAGCCTCTATATCTTTTTAGCTGTCTCTACTCTAAAAGGTATGATAGAATTATAGTACAGTTATAATATAATTTTTGAAATGTTTTCCTGTCATGTACTGCTCTTTTCTTAGCACAGTGTTCATTATTCTAAATAATTAGTTGTTTATGTTAATATCAGTTTTCTCTAATGGACTCGAAGCTCTGTGAGGGTGGGAGAGGGTGAGATGTTGTCTGTCTCTTGTTGGCTGTAGCTTGTGGACCTAAGACAGTACTTGGCACAGGGTAGGTACTTAGCATTTGTTGAATAAATTAATTAATGAATGAATAGTGATTTTTTTTTTTAAACCAATAAGCTTCATAGATTTCTTGAAATCTAAATGTTCATATATTCCTGGTAATAGATTAGTCAGTAACCTAGTTGATTTAGAATTTACCATTTTTATTACATTCTTGCAGCTTGCCAGTCACAGTGGCTATGTGCAGATCGACTGGAAGAGAGTTGAAAAAGATGTAAACAAAGCAAAAAGACAGATTAAGAAACGAGCAAATAAAGCAGCACCTGAAATCAACAATATAATTGAGGAAGTAAGACAATATATGTTTTTTGGCTCCTTTTTTTAAATGGGTCTCACTTAGCAGTAAATGTGACTGGGAATTATCTTCTTTAAAAAAATTGGTGGTTTTGGTCATATGTCTCCAGTGTTAAGTAAAATTTGGAATCAAACCACCATTTGAATCAGTCATTAATTTTTGGTGATAAACATAGATTCCCCTGCCCATTTCCCCAACTCCTTGATCCTCCTGTGTAAAAACAGATAACATTATTCTTCCAGAATTTTTCTTCCGCTTTTACAATGTCTATATATATCTATGTGTATACAAACTGTTGAAAATGCAGACTACCCATTTTTTTTCTTGAGGTGGAAATAGTTTGAAAATGTATTCATTTTATTTTATTAATTTGATGAATATATTAGTTTTAATAACATTTTTATTTGTATTTTGTCTATATTCTTATAGTCTGTTTAGAATTAAATAGTTACTCCTTTGACTCTGTTTTTGTTTTATTCTTTTACCTCTCCCAACTTTTTATTTTGAAAAATTTCAAATCAGTTAAAATGTTGAAAGATAAGTATAGTGAATACCTAAATACCCTTTACCCTTACCAAATTGTTAACATTTTGCCACATTTGCTTTACCTGTGTGCATGTGTGTGATTAACACTTTTTTTTTTTTGCTGAACCATTTAAGATATCATGACTCTTCACCTCTAAATACTACAGCACCTATCTCCTAAGGATAGGAATATTCTCCTGTACAACTACAAGTACCATAATTACACCCAAGAAATTTAACATACAATATTACTTTCTAATATGTAGTCCATATTGAAGTTTTTCCACAAAATATCCTTTATTGCCTTTTTTTCCCCCAGTCAAGAATTATACATTGCATTTGGTTATCATGTCTCTGATGTCTCCTTTAATCTTAAACAGTTCCCTCATCTGGTTTGTTTTTTCTTTTTTCCCCATCTTTCATGACACTGACATTTTTGAAGCATCTAGGCCACTTTTGCAGAATAGCCCACAGTTTTGGCCTTGTCTAATTGCTTCCTCATAATTTTACTAACATTAAATAGTTTATCAAGGTGATGTTAAATGTATGTTTTTTGATCCTGTACATTTTTTCTTACTAGCTAAGTGGATTATTAGTAAATATCATTATGCCTGCTATGGAAATTTATTAAATGATCTTTGTTAACAACTTGCTAAAGGAGCCATTTATGTCTGCCCTATATGTAGATTTCTTTTTACCTGTGATATCATTGCTGCCCATATACCTGTTATCTCAGTAGTCACAGAGCTTACTGAGCCTGGCTCTAGGCTCTAGGCAGCTTCAGTTTGTAACTGACTGCTCTGAGATCTTGCATGGTGTTTGGCACCTACAATAGTAGGAGCCCAGGAATTTTTGCTGAATATTTATTTGATGAAAATGTTACTTAACTCTGGATTCAATAATTAAATATTCGTTTAAATTTACTTTATGTTTCAGGCAACAGAATTTATCAAACAGAACATCGTGATATCCAGTGGATTTGTGGGAGGCTTTTTGCTAGGCCTGGCATCTTAAGGACGTGAATGTTCTATCATAGTAGATTCAACTGTGACAAGAGCAGTGGTGGTGACAAGGCAGTCTCTCAACAGCACATACCACGAGATTCTCCAGGGCAAGGAGAAACAATTATCTGGACAATACTGAATTCACAACTTTAGTGTTTTGCCTTCTAAAGCTTGGCAAACTAGTATCTGCTGTAAAATACCCTGTATTGTATGTGTATAACTTTCATTTAAAAAAGAATTTGCTTCTGTTTAGAAATTAGCCTATAAAATATCATCAGTGGATATAGATATGGAGAGAAAAAAAATCTGTTTGTTGGACTTATTCTCCAGTGAAATATTACCCTTGTTTTATTTAAATAAGATATTCTTCATTATGCTTTATAGTATAGTACCAATAATTTATAATTTGTATTATCACTTCAACATTAGGGCTGAGTTTTATTTTAAGAAATGTTTGCAATAAACTGAAGAACTGCAATGCCTGTTTATGGAAGGATTTAGAAATAACAGAATTACTAAAGATATTAAACATACTCTACTGATGTAATTTAATACCAGTTTTTAAGTTTTTCTTTTTTTTTCCTATTTAGGCTTTAATATACTTATTTTTACCTGCAATTCTTACTTTGCTTAAAGAATAATTGTAGTAACAGTTTCAAAGAAAGCCCTTGTAAGCAAATGCTACATGTCCAGAGCTCTTCTTTCTTTCTTTTTTTTGTCATCTGTAGTTAAAAAATATCTTCTTGTATATAAGCTTCTAACTTTTTAAATTTGTTTGTTTATCTTGGCAGTATGGACAGAAGTAATTTTGGGGGCTTGTATATAGTTGGTCAACTGATTGATTTTATTAACCTTGAATGAACTTCCATTCTCATTTAAAATTCCTGATTATTATTCTGGCCCCTTCTTCACGAGGAAGTAAAAGTCACTTTAAAATATTTAGTAGTATAGTATGAATTTTTTATTTAAAGAACAGTGATTTTCTATGTAATTGTGAAATTGTAGCTTAAAGAGAATTGTTCCCTTGATCTAGTTTGAGATGTAAGTACTAAGACTTTCAGGCTTTCTGTATCATTATATTGGTTGAACATTAAGCCAGTGAACTTGTTTCTCAGGGCCAACATCACACTCCTTCAGAGGCTCCTTTGTCCCCAAAGTTTTCTATATTTTTAGTTTTGTCTGTAGAGTTCTAGGTTGGTATTGGGAGAAACAGCAGAACAACGTGTGTTGGAGTCTTCAGATTGGAAAGACTGTAGGTATCCAGGCCACCTCCTTTTCATAGGAAGTTCCCATAGTATATTTTGGGTATTGTAAACATATGGCTTTTCATACTTTCAAGACTGGTTACAGTCTGAGCGCTTTCATTAGTGTTGAGACTCCTTAAAATTGAATGTGGGATTGATGTTAAGTTTCTTCCTTTACTCTCATTAGTGCCTCAGATATGATGCTAAATAAACTTCAGACTTTCGTAATATGAAGTGATTTTGCTTATAAATACTTGATTTTTCTTTTTTGGGCTTTTCTTTATTTCTACCTTGTCCAGCTTTTTATCACTTGGGATTAAAAGGGAAAAATATTCATGAATATGATCAGGTCACACATTAGCTTGAACCTTGGCTGTGCTTCTGTGTGCCACACCTTTGTGATTCTCTCGTGTGATACAATGAGGCAGGCTATTGTGGGGGGCTCTGGTAGCTGACTCAATTTGTTCATTTGGAAATATTTATAGCGTGTTCTGTGCATGATACACTAGGAAAGTGGCGGAGGGAGCACAAACATCACTGCCCTCAATAGCCTTCAACTGAATAGAGACTAAGATATTTCTATATGAAAAGTTATGATATAGGAGAACCTGGCATATGAGTAGTAGGGATTACTACTTTCAAAGTCCAAACATGAATGAAAACTGAAAAAGATAGTAGCAACTCATTTTTACCTATACATTTCCAAGTAGCTGTCTAGATTTTAAAGAATATTTCTATGCAAATGCAATATTAGTGTCCCTTGTTCTGCCTCATGTCTACACTATTTTTCCCACTAAGTTGTAGGCTACTTGAGACTAATCTGTAACTTATGAAGCACAGAGTGCAGTGAGTGCTTTGCTCCTGGTAGGTTGCTGGGAGGGTGGTCTGCCTTTATGGATAAGCTGAGGCCTTGGGCTCAGAGCATTCTCTGATAAGGAAGCTGGGAATTGGGTCTCTTTCTCCTCTCCTGTTCCCCTCTGTCAGAGAAGCCCTCCTCCCTGTTTTGAATCCATGGTAACTTTCTCTATGACTCTGTGACTACTTAATTGTACTAATGTAATCTTGTAGCTCGTGGGAGAAGAAATGTTCTTTCTAGTCATGCACCTCTGGTCACGGGACTGCCATGCTATTTGAATTTGAACAAAGCTTGGCAACGGGACAGTCAGGCCAGGTGCAGCTGAACAAAGGCCCCTTCCTCTTACCCCTTTTCCTTGTTCCCATGCACTCAGATTTCCTGTGTCAGCTCACCCCGGGACGGGGGTCTGAGGGAGGCCAACTCCACAATGAATCTTATCCCTTGCATCTACATCCTAATTGCTATGTAAGTAAATAAAAGCTTGTGATCTTGCCACTGGGTAATGCCAATTAATTACTGAAAGCTACAGGCTTGTTGGAGCCCATTTTTCATCTTACTGCAGTTGTGTGGAAATCTCAGAATCCCACTATGCTGTCTTCAACTATGAGTATATAATAAATGCCCACTTTTTACTTCTCTGTTCATTAATGACACTAGCTGCCCGTGCAGCACTTCTCTGACTCTAACCACCCAGAGCTAGGTCAGCTCTTACAAGTCAAAAGGACACCATCATTCAGACTCAAATAGAGTCTACACCACACCCTCACTTACGACCTGCTGGCTACAGATTGGAGGTTTCTCCTCTACCCCTTTAGGGTGCTAGCCACAAGCTCGGAGACCCCCCTGGACTCCCTCACTTCGGACCTGCTGGCTCCCACTACTCTTTTAGGGGTGGGGGTGGGGCTGAACAAGAATGAACTGGTTTGAAGCACTGCAGGTGGTTTTTGTGGCCTGGCTAGTCCCCCGCTCATTTGTACAAATCCTTAGGTGTTTAGATAACAACAAAAAAAAGTACTCTACCCCTTGCTGTGGGATCAATTCCAACTCATAGTGACCCTATAGGACAGAGTAGAACTGCCCCATAGGGTTTCCAAGGAGTGGCTGGTGGATTCAAACTGCCTATCTTTTGGTTAGCAGCCTGAGCTCTTAACCACTACACCACCAGGGCTCCTAGATGACAAAGGCACATCAATTACTCAGCAAAATCTAAGGGTTTAGAGTTCTATCTCAGGATACAAGGGCAAAGACCAAATTATTTTAGGTAAAGTTAAATATTCCATGTAGGTATTCAGCAAATGAACACATGTGAAAAGCATATTACTATGCTAGATATAGTGTCAACCTATAGGGAACTGTTCCTTCTTTGTGTAGCAGTCCACTGAATCAGAGGCTCAATCAGAAATGACTTGATGTGGCCCAATTGAAATGAAAAGCCTATATAGCCTGCATTTGTCTATAATGGGAATTTTTAAATAAATGCTGCAGAGGTTGTGGAGAGACTGGAACACTTATATACTGTTGGTGGGAATGTAAAATGGTTCAACCACTTTGGAAATTGATTTGGTGCTTCCTTGAGAAGCTAAAAATAGAAGTACCATATGATCCAGCAATCCCGCTCCTTGGAATATATCCTAGAGAAATAAGAGCCGTCACATGAATAGATATATGCACAACCATGTTCATTGCAGCACTGTTCACGACAGTAAAAAGATGGAAACAATCTAGGTGCCCATCAACGGACAAATGGATAAACAAATTATGGTATATCCACACAATGGAATACTACATAACAATAAACAACAACGATGAAGCTGTGAAACATAACATGGAGGAATCTGGAAGGCATTATGCTGAGTGAATTTAGTCTGTCACAGAAGGACAAATATTGTATAAGACCACTATTATAAGAACTCAAGAAAAGATTTAAACGCAGAAGAAAACATTCTTTGATGATTACTAGGGTGGGAAGGAGGGTGAGGGTTATTCATTAACTAGATAGTAGACAAGAATTATCTTAGGTGAAGGGAAGGACAGCACACACTACAGAGGAAGTCAGCACAACGGGACTAAACCAAAGCTAAGAAATTTCCTGAATACAACCAAACACTTTGAGGGACAGAGTAGCAGGGGCGGGGGTCTGTGGACCATGGTTTCAGGGGATACCTAGGTCAATTGGCATAACAAAGTTCATAAGAAAATATTCCGCTTCCTTCTTTGGTAAATGGCATCAGGGGTCTTAAAAGCTAGTGCTCAATAAATATGAGAGGGAGAGATTCAGAATCATGGAAATGAAACACATCATATAATAATTTCTGAGTGTTTTCCTTTCATTATACTCATCATTCTTTTGGTTCTTTCTGAAGATTCATGTCTTTGCCTGAAGCAAGTTATATATTTTTTATTAATAAACTTTGTTTTTAGAACAGTTTTAGATTTATAGAAAAAGTGAGCAGATAGTACAGAGTTCCCATATTATCCTGCTCAGAACAGACACACAGTTTCCACTATTATTAACATCTTACATTAATATGGTACATTTGTTACAATTAATGAGCCCATACTAATACATTTTTATTAACAAAAGTCCATACTTTATTTATATTTCCTTGGTTTTTACCGAATGTCTTTTTTTCTGTTCCAAGATCCCATCCAGGACAACATTACATTTAATTGCCATGTCTCGTTAGGCTCCTCTTGGTTGTGACAGTTTCTCAGACTTTCCTTGTTTGTGATTACCTTGACAGTTTTGAGGAGTTCTGGGCAGGTCTATTGTAGGATGCCCCTCTATTGGAATTTGTCTGATGTTTTTCTCGTGATTAGACTGGGGTTATGGGTTTTGGGGAGGAAGACCACAAAGGTAAAGTGTCATTCTCATCACATCATATCGAATAATATCAACATGGTTTATGACAGTAAATGTTGACCTTGATCATCTGGCTGAGGTAGTGTTTGTCAGGTTTCTTCACTGTAAAATTACTCTTATTTTCCCCTCCTTGCCATATTATACTCTTTGGAAGGAAGTCACTACCCACATTTAAGGAGTGGGAGTTATGCTCTACCTCCTTGAGGGCAAAGTATCTACATAAATTGTCTGAAATTCTTCTGCATGGGAGATTTGTCTCTTCTTCCCCCATTTATTTATTAATTCAATCATTTATTCAGTATGAATTCATGGGTATTTATTTTATACTTTTTATTAGATGTTTTAATATCTGACAGGGCTAGCCCCCATCACTGTCTGTCTTTTTTAAGGCATTTCATAGCTGTTGCTTATTTATTCTTCCTAAAATACTTTATAAATTTTATAAACATAAAAACTGATGATTTTTTTATTGAGACTGTGTTAAATGTATGTACTAACTTACCAAAAACCAAAACCAAACCTGTTGCCATCAAGTTGATTCCAACTCATAGCGACCCTATAGGACAGAGTAGAACTGCCCCATAGATGGTAATCTTTATGGAAGCACACTGCTACATCTTTCTCCTGAGGAATGGCTGGTGAGTTTGAACCGCTGACCTTTTGGTTAGCAGCTGAGTGCTTAACCATTGCGCCACCAGGGCTCCTTATATACTAATTTAGGGAGAATTAATTGAGATCTTTATTATGTTAGGTTTGCCTGTGTTTGGTCTTTTAGAAGAGTTTTATCATTTTCCTCATTAGTTTTGAACCTTTCTTGTTAAGTTTATGCCCAATACTTATGTATTTTTTTTAAAAAGAGTAATTTCTTTCGTTTTAATGGGATCTTGGGTGTTATTTAGCATTCTGTTACTTAGTTAAATAGTAGTTCTAGTTTCACTTAAATCCTTACCTGAACTTTTTTCTCTTTTAAGAATAGCATGTAACATTGTTAGTTCTCAATAAATAACGAATGATTGGGTCAATATTTAGGTGTAATTAAAGAAGTATTACAACATGAAACAAGTGAAAAGTTACAGACAAGGAAGCATTAGGCATAGTCCAAGAAAAAGAACTTTCTGAAATTTGGAATTTTCAAATATTTATAATATATCAGATCATTTAAAACCATAACAATATCCTTTCTGTTTCTTATGATCTTTAAATCCAAAGAAACTTACTTCTTGTAAGCAACAACTTGAGTGTAGGAAATTGAAGTCTATTACTGGTCACAATTCATTAAAATCTTCACATTATAAAGCAAAGGGTAGTTGTAAGTATAAAGTAAAATTTTAAAACAGAACAAAAATATAGTAATGATTCAGCTGTATCAAAGCCTGTTAGAGAGTGATATAAGTACATTAGTTTAATTTGTCACCAGCAATACTTTTCGTTTGTTTAGCAAACATCCAAATAGAATTTTAAAAACAGCTCAAATTTCTCCTTAAATATACTGGGTATTGTGTGTATGTGTGTGTGGGGGGGGGGTGAGGGCAGTTGTTAACTAGTTTAAGGATGGCTTTGTGTTATGTGTAAGCAGCAGGTACACTAAAGTTAGGGTAATTAATAAGCACCACGGAATGTCATGAAGTAGTAGCAAGATGCATGCAAACCATGTTGGAGTTTCCTTTGTTATTCGATGTAGATCCAAAAAAAAAATAAAAATAAAAAGAATCCAGTTGCTGAGAGTCAATTCCAATTCATTGCGACACCATGTGTGTCAGAGAAGAGCTGTGATCCATAGGGTTTTCAATGACTGATGTTTTTGGAAGTAGATCACCAGATCTTTTTTCCGAGGACCACTGGGTGGACTTGAACCTCCAACCTTTTGGTTAGCAGCCTAGGGTGTTAACTGTTTGTACCACCTAGGGATTCCAATTGTGCTTAGTGGTTATATTTATTTATTTTTGTTTTGTGAGGAAATTAGTGGGAGTAGGGACATGCTGTTTGAGGCT